AAATAGAGCCAACTTGGGAGCCTAACTAAAATTTATGCAAAGTTTCAAATGAATGACGCGTAGCATTCGGTATATATATATATATATATATATATATATATATTGCGTTTGGTATTTTCATTCTCCTAAACCAATGGCCGCCCTCTAATGTTTTGATTTTTTTTTTGCCGAAGCAATGTTTTGATTTTGTTAGATGAAATTGAGGAAAATCAGAATACGTTACTCTTTTTTTTGTTTAATTTTATTAGCTAGGTTTAGGTTTTTCTATAAATAAAATAGGCATGTAATAATTAATTGATACTTTTTATTCAACTTTAGTACTTAAATTTAATTTTTAATTTTTAATTTAGAAAGTTTAAATTTAGTTGTTTATTTTTTTAAAATGTCAATACACTTGTTTTGTATTTTATTTCTTTTTTTTTTAATCTTGAATTATATAATAAAAGCTAACCATCTATTATCTTTAACCTACCTCATATACATATCATATAACACGAATTTAAAACCTCTAACTTTTATTAAAATCCCTATGAATATAAAAAAACAATGAAAAACATGAAAACCCTTGCCCTTATGCAATCCTTGTAAATATAAACCCTAACAACTAACTTATAAGGAGATCACTTGAAAATTTTAAGTCTCTTATCTTGTCTAGCTAGTTTTTCAAATCTACTTGAAAAATATCATTAGATTTGATGTTATACACGACTAATAAACACCACATTATTAGTCACCACATATCATGTAATCCAATTAATTGAGGTAAAACTTCCATTAGAAACCCAAAAAGTAAATAAATCCTTATAGAAAATCTAAATAAATAAGAAAACTTGAAGGTAAAATGGTTACAAAAATCCCAAAACCACAAAGCATACGTATTTAGTAAGCCTATCGCCCAATAAAGGAAAAAAAGATAGCCCAAGAAAGGCAAAAAAAGATAGGCTAGGGTGTTTTTGGCAAGGTAGAGTTGGAGAGATTTGGCTCCTTATTTAATAGTATAGATCTTTATCATCTTTTAAAATAAAGTTAAAATTATAATAAATGTATTACATGATATCTTAAAAGAAAATAATTAAATTTAAACTTTTTAAAATTAAAACTTAGATCCATCAAAATTAGACCAAAGTAGTAAAAATTAAAATGTTAAAAATAATAATAAAAATATTAAAATATTTTTAATAAATTAATCTGTAAAAATATTTATTAAAAATATTTAAATTATTTTATAAACAATCTTAAAATTTTAAACCTCAAAAAGTTTTGATTTTTTATTTTGATTTTAATTTTGTTGATACTTAAGAACTAGAGTGTTATCGATGTAATTGTTGTGTAGCTATAATTTATAAACGACTTTTACAAAGTTGTTTTTGAAGACAAAGTTAAAAAATAAAAAAGAAAAAAGAAAAAGGAAAAAAAGAAAAACCCGCTCTTAATTGCGCCCCCAAGACAACCTTAAATTACAACGTGCCCAGAACCCCTCCGATAAATACCCCCTGTCGCCGTCCGGATTCAGATTTACAAACAGAATATCTCCGATCCAAACGCCGCTTTCTGCAGAACAAATTGGAATTCGCTTAAGTATAAGAGCCAGATGTCGGCGCGGTCTCCGAGAAACAAATTTGACGATTCAGATTTCTCACCTTCGAAATTCGCTTCGTCGAGTGCGAAATTCGCTTCAACATCATTCGCAAGTGCCACTTCTCCTACTCGTGTCAGTCTGTACGGACGGAGCAATTCTCAGTCGTCGTCTTCCTTTTGGTTCTCCGTCAAAGATCGGAAGGCTTCTCCTGGCCATTCGGTTTCGCTGAGGAGCCAAATTTCCCAGAACAAGAATGCGGTCTCTTCCGGTGGCCATCAGACGAAGACTTGTACGTGCTCTCCTACCACGCATCCAGGATCGTTTCGCTGTTCCCTCCACAGACGTCACCAATCGCAGGGATATCACTCGAGTAATGCATTGAATTTCAGGAGATCCGCAATGGTGAATTCTCTGGTGAGGATTGGTGGAGTGGAGGGAGATCTCGTGAAGAGATCTTTGTCTGCCTTGATCAGGCCGTCGTCGCACCAGCAACGCCGCCGAGCCACTTTCGAACCGAAACCCAGCCGGCTCTCGATCATGTCCATAGCTAAAGATTCGTGAAGCGTTAGGGTTTTGTGTCATAGCTTTTTGAGTAAATCAGTCGAGTTGACTCAGTGAGTTTTTTTACGACTCAGTAACTGGGCACTACATGGCATATATGGGGTTTTTTTTTTTTTTCCTTATACATAAGGTTTGGGTATTGAAATCCAATGTTTTACAGGAGAGATTAAGAGGTTAATTATTTGCCTCTTCTTTAAGAAACTTGATAATTGTTTTAAAATTTAAATTTCAGAAATCAAAACAAATAAAATATCAGTGACAACAAATGGTCCGTTATACTCCAGTGAAATTGAATTTTGAGTTAGGAATGTTAGGTAACGTATTCAAACCTCGTAAAACTCATTTCTCTTATTCTCATAAATAACTGTAAATAATGTTAGAATTGTTAAAAAGAAAAATATCAGTGATAACAAATGATCCGTTATACTCCAGTGACATTAAATTTTGAATTAGAAATATTAGGTAACGTATTCAAATCTCATAAAACTCATTTCCCCCATTATCATAAATACCTATAAATAATGTTAGAATTGTTAAAAGGAAAAATATCAGTGATAACTTGTGCAATTGTATAAACGACATAATAATTGTCTAGATAAATGTTAGTGCTGACAGCTAGACTTGGGATTACAAATGTACGAGCTCCTGAGTTCCGAGAATCTAGGCTATTTGTTTAATACCCACGACCCTTAAGCAGGGTCTGACTTTCAGATCTTCATCTATATACACTGCATGCACACACTCTAAAATTGGCCAAAAATATAGCGAGACACAATTAAATATACACCGAAATAGTCTAATGTAAAATATTTTTTTTTTATCAAACATATATTCTTAAGCAAATTGTCAATTATGTTCAAATTGGTTAGGAACTGCAATAATATGTCAATTACAAATGAATAACAAAAAAGAAAAAACAATTTTGTTTCATACCGACATCGATTTATTTGTTATTCTAGAATTGATTTCTTGATTTTTTTTTTTTTAATGTCAAGTACGGGTTAACATAAATTATTTTCAGACAGATTTTGAACCTACAGCCTTCTCAACCTTCCCTTAAGTGAATTATGACACTTGGGTCAAAATGTTTTACAACAAATATTTCATTAAACAGAAGTTTAAGAAAAATTTTCTTCAAAAACCATTAGAAGGGTCCGCTTGGGTCAAAATGCATTCAACTCCCCAGTTAGTCTGAAATTATTGGATTGGAGAAAGCCGATTCTTCCTACACCCATTACAAAGGTAAGTCCAGTTCAGCATGGGATGGATAGGGCCCATCTTTGTTACATTGATGGTTGAAAATGACCCTAACGACACTTGGAACGTGCACTAAATTGGACTGGGACAGGCTTGTTCTGGTTCAAGGCTTGTGTTTATGTATACTTTCTAGACTTTACTAGATGGCATAGCAAATAGCACCATTCATTTCAAGAAACTAAACTTTCACATCCATTGTTTGAGGCATGAGTTACTTCGAGAGATTTTTAATCCATTTCCCAACTCCATTAGCAAAACTTAGAAACAAATAGTAGGGTATCTCAATCATTAGTAAGAAGTAGAGAATATAGAGATACAGATTATTCATGAGCTTGATTTCTTAAAGTGGCATCCATGATGTGTCTATTTGGCCTCACTTGTGAGTTTCCACCAACTCGATCTCCTCATAATTAAGTGGTAAAGTTGATACGGATCTCAATCTTTGCACTTGCTGGAAAAGGGGAATAAGCAAGGGCCAAGTCCCAATTCTATATTCCAAATTAAGACTCTAAAGTCTAAACCAAACAAATCATATATTTGGCATTCCCCATGTCACCGCAGTGATGGTCACATTTCTTCAAAATTAAAAATAGGTGAAACACACTTTAGTTCGCACGTCAAGTTTCAGACTCAATTTTCTTCAAATAGATACTAATTTAATATTGTATTTTTTTGTGTTAAAAAAAAAAAACAAATTGTATGTTTCCTATCACTTTCTACTCGCATACTATATTGACCTAGGATACAATACAACTCCAATCCAAAGCTTGCTATTTTCAAATTCAATTACCTGCTGCGGATCTGTGTGGATGATTTCAACTCCAAATCTTTAATTTTCAAACAAACAATGAAATCATCAGTTATGGAGTATTAACGTTATACAAAAATATTAAATTTATCTAATTTAATTGATTTTATAAATAAATAATTAAATTATTTAAAAATATTAATATAAAAATTAATTTTAAATTATTAAATAATAAATATTAATTTTTTAATTATTAATTGACAATTACAACTCTCTTAATAATCCAACCAACCATACACATAATTTGTTTTTTTCTTTTTGGCCATATCCTTGTTTTGTGTGGCCATGAAAGTGCCCGAGATCATCACTTCATGTCATTCTCCTAAACATGTGATTCAGCTAGCTCCTCCATTTCAAAACTATTTCTAATGTTCAGTCACACTGCTCAACAACCATGCCTCCGCCACCCCATGTGTTTTTTTGTTGTCTAATTTGGATAACGTGGCAAATGTTGGCTGCCAACTTACAACACAAGAAAAAGTCTATGAATTCAGACCATTAGGTTTTTTTTGTTTTTTGTTTTTTGTTTTTATCTTGCATGCATGATAAAAATTAATATTTTTTTATTTTTTAATCAATTTTATTTATATATTATATAATTTAAATTTAAATTTTTTTATTTTTAATAAAAAAATTATTATTAAATTATTTAAATTGTTCACAAATTTAACCTATTAGCCAATCCCACCTTTTTGGTACATCCTTTGTCCATAACTGAGCAAGGAAAGATGATGTTGGCTCAGAATTAGGAAGATTTAATTTCTTAGATTATCTCCTCTCTTCTTCTTTTTTTTTTTATTAGCAAGATAATGGTCGACGTTGTCTTAAAATTAGGAAGATTTAATTTTTTAGATTATCCCTTTTTTTTTTGTTTATTAATTTTTTGGTATTTCAAAATTACATTAAATCATAATTAATTTGAAATGAAATCATGTCAAAGTCAAACCTATAAAAGAAAATTTTCCTAACGTCTATTTTTTTTATTTATAAGACTTGATTTTAAGATTTTATTTGAAAGGAATTGAATTTTTTTCATTCGAATCAATAAATTATTGTTAAGTTATCTCTTTTTTTAGTATGCAAAGATTATTAATTAAATTTTAAGTTTGTAATTGAGAGAATAAATAGTTTTATTTTAAGATCACATAATTCATGTTACCTTATAAATAGTGATGGGTAAGTATCACAGCTTGGTGACATGATCTAATATTGGAATGGGAGGATCTCGCCGCATCCTAAACTTGTGTATCAGAAAAAATTAAAAAAATGCAAAATCAAAGAATTATTGGTTTTAGTCGTTTCTTCTTTTTCACGATGGCTAATGTATGATTTATTATAGCGTTTTTATCTCTTCTATTTCACATCGTTGTCACAAATGGAATATTCCCTTAATATGCCATCTCTTCTTTATTTATTTTTTAATTTTTTATTTTGATTGAAGAAAAGTGGAGAAATATTCTAATGTTTTCAGTAAAAGTTTCATTTTCTACCTATTTCTATTTTATTTGCATCTCCTCTAAAATTCAATTTGATCAATTGCGAGAAAGGAAAGATTCGGGATATGTGAATTTTTTTTTAATAGATTACAATTTTAAGAAGGAGAATTTATACCTTAATTTTAAAATTAAAAGATATATTTTACAATAAAATATATAATCATTGTACAAAAAACTAGATAATTCAAAATGTAAATCTTTATTTTTTATTTAAATGTTAAATGTATAATGAAAAATAATTTTTTTTACCTCTTATTTTAATCAATTTATATATCATATTATTCAAATTCAATTACTCTTATTTTTAACCAAAAAAAAATTGCTATTAATCTATTTACATCCTAACATTTAACTTTTTTTTTTTTTTTTTAGATTTTTTTTTTTTAAACAATATACAATATAGGGGGTGGGGGTTCGAACCCCAACCTAAGAGTTGAAGGATGTACTTTTTAAAGGGGTTTAAAGCAATTGGACTACTAGGCCCAAAAATGCGTCCTAACATTTAACTTTTTATTTTTTGTTTTGAACAATGTAATGAAAATAAGATTTAAACTTGAAACTTAAAAAAAAAAAAAAAAATGTAGTGAGGGTATGATTCAATCTTTGAACCTACTAAAAAAAAGACTACACCTTCAGAATGACTAAAAGGAAACTTAACCCAAAAGGCCGGTGTCCTAACATTTAACTTTAAACTTACATAAAATTCAACTTTTCATAATATAACTCCTTTTGGGAAGAAAACTGTACTATATGTTTATATTGACAAATACAACTCTGTTCATCTACCTTCTGAACTCTTTCTGTCTTTTCTTTAAATCATTGCTTCCTTCATGGATGCAAACAAACAATCCCTTCCTAACTTTCAATCCCTCAGAATCTACCCCCATGCCTAACTCGTTATTTTGTTGAAACAAAACCAACCTGGTTTGGATTTTATTAAAAAGTAGTTACTACAACAGAGTCTAATTCATCTCCACGTTTCCGTTCTGGGGCTGTGCTCTCAGCACCATTAACAGTGGCGATCCACTCACAATACCAGACCCGCGAGATCATTAACAAATGCCCAAGAGGCAAGTGCTCAAAGCGGGGAGCAGGCCCCCATGGGTGGGCTTGGCTGCTGCAGTTTGGGTTCAGATATGTGCCGGAAACGGCTACAACTTCCCCCTCTATTCTTGTACCCTGAAATCGGTTCTGGGATTCGACCAGCAGCAGGTTACCATCTTGGGTGTGGCTAATGACATTGGAGAGAATATGGGTTTGCTTGCTGGTATTGCTTGCAACAAGTTTCCTATATGGGCTGTTCTTCTTGTTGGAGTTGTTGCTTGTTTCTTGGGATATGGTTCTCTCTGGCTTGCTGTTACGCAGCCTGCTGTTGACATGCCTTACTGGGTGGTAAGTAAATTTTGGTGCCAGTTTATGTCGGTATTCAATTTTATTTCAGCTTGTTAATTAGATTTTCCTTTTGGCCGTTAGGTAAGATCAAAGATGTGAATTTGATTATGTTAAAGTTATCTTTACCATTCATTAGTGGGTCTTATTTCATTTCTACAGCCTGGTTGCTTATCTGTTTGCAATCCCAGTACATTCCATCATAATTCTTCTAAATTTGCTTTGTTTAGAATAGGTTTTGGGTTGTTTTCTCCTTTCCCAATCTTTGATTGACTAGGATACCTCCTCACAACGCTTATCATGTTTGATAAAATCTAATGAAACAAACCACTTATTTGGTATGATCGTCTAAATGTGCCCGATGCTAATAAAGATGCCTAATCTATAAGATTGGGATAAAATTCAGCGCACATGGTAACTGCTAGGCATACAGTCCTTTCTGCTTACAGTGGTTTAAAAAATATAAGCTTTTTGGTTTTTACAAGGCATCCTTGGTGATATTTGAGAAACACATATGCTATTTCTTGAACTGGCAGTAAATGGCCATGGTTCAAGCTAGTGCCTGGAAAGGACAGTACTTAGCACTAGTTTGGTATCCTGTAAGCATCAAAACTACAATAAACGTGGCCATCTCAATGCTTTGTAAAATTCAGTTTTCAAACTAATGTTTTGAAGGTTAAGGTGAAACAAAAAAGGCAAGTATTATGGAGAATATAATTGGTTGGTCGAAAGAAAAAGGTTGAACATAGAAATTCACCACCTCTTTATTACCTGTAGTTGCTTACGGAGCAATTGGGGAGGGAATCAAAGTTGCCTGACCTTTTTCTCTGGTTTCTAGTTTCTAAGAGTAGGTTCTCTATTCCTGCTATATTTGTTCATTAGGTTTTGTTCTATTATAATTCTTCCTTTCCTTAAGAGAGTGGAGAATAAGTTTTGAGGCAATTCCCTTCATAGATTTAGTAAAACTCATCATGTTAAACGGTTGTCTGAGGCACCATAGGTTGATACTTGATAATTAAGCAATCTAATTAATCTGGGCAAATTACTCGATACAGATGGCTATTTCCTTGCTATTAGTTGATGCTGAGTTACCATGTGAACTTGTAAACTTAGAACATTGATAGTTAATGGATTTTATTAAAGAATTGGGGGAATTGAATCCTTTGGATCAAACAAATTAGACCAAGTAATCCCCCATGGTCTAAAGGGCATAAAATATATATATATATATATATATATATTGAGGAACATAGAAATCACAGTAATTCTTGTCTCTATTTCGTGTGCTGTTTTTAGCAAACAGGTAAACTGGTTTACAATCAACATTCCTTTTTTCATTGTTATTATTTATTTATTATTATTTGTGGAGGAATGAAATTCTGGCATAATATCTCCTTAAATTTGGGGATGGAGAATTTTCTTCTGGATATATTAGACTGTACCATGATGTTGGCTGGACGCTACTCATGGGAGGCAAATTAAAACTCATCTGAAGTTCACTGTGCAAATGTATGATTGAGTCATAATTTTTTTTTTCTTTTTGGTTGGGGGGGTCCTGTAGCATCTTATCTATGTCTCTTAGTTGGAGAAGGGATTCATGTTCCCTTTTTTTTTTTTTTTCCACCTCTCAGGTCTCCTGATATATGCAGAAATAGAATGGAAAAATGATAAAAATTCAAAGAAATTATTGAAGTAGTCAATAATTGCATGTGCCAATGGAACAAAATGTTTAATTGTTAGAAGTGTCAGATTTATTTTCTCATTTTTATGCATTTAGTTCTTTCTTTTAGCCAGTCTTTGTGCAGTATGTTCCTGTTCAAGCTAATGTACTTACGACTCCTATTCTCCCTGCTATGGCAGTTATGGATTGCACTTGTTGTTGCAGCTAATAGCAATGCATGGTTTGGCACAGCAGTGCTAGTAACTAACATGAGGAACTTCCCCCTAAGTAGAGGCACTGTTTCTGGCATCCTCAAAGGTTATGTTGGGATCAGTGCTGCTGTATATACTGTGATATACAGTTTGCTACTAGGACAGTCTGCTTCAAAACTGTTATTATTCCTTACTCTTGGCCTTCCTGTAATATGTTTAGCCATGATGTACTTTGTCCGGCCTTGTACTCCCTCTGGAGAAGACTCTTCAGTTCACGTTCATTTTGTTTACACCCAAGCTGCTAGTGTTTTGCTTGCTGTCTATCTGCTGACAATCACAATCATATATGATGTGGTTTCTCTAAGTGATGCTCTTTGTTACATTCTAGTTGCAATTATGGTTATTTTCTTAATTTCTCCTCTGGGAATTCCGGTCAAAATGACTCTTTTTCCAAATAATGGGAAGAAATCTACACCGCTAGCGGGTTCTTCAGGGCACTTGGACCAGGGTGAGGAATATTCCAACCAATCAGATCCTTCAGTCAGACAGCAATTGGTCCAGGGAGAAGCATATTCAACCCAAACAGAGCCTTTAGTAACACCAAATCCATCAGCTTCAGACCTTGGGAGTTTGTTTGACAACGGTGATGTTTCAGATGTGGAAACTCTCCTGGCTGAGGGGGAGGGGGCAGTGAAGGAGAGAAGAAGACCACCCAGGAGGGGGGAGGATTTCACATTTCGTGAAGCTTTAATCAAGGCCGATTTTTGGCTTCTTTGGTTTACATATTTTCTTGGAGTTGGCCCTGGTGTTACTGTTCTTAATAATTTGGCTCAAATTGGAGTGGCTTTTGGTGTTGATGATACGACAATATTATTGTGTCTCTTCAGCTTTTTCAATTTTGTTGGTCGCCTTGGCTCTGGTGCTATTTCTGAACACTTTGTCAGGTCAGTATTTGTTACATTTTGCTTAACAAGTTGCATGGTTAGTATGTAAATGTCGCCTTTGGTTCTTTAAAAAGCTGTAAAGCAGGGCTGAATTTTTAGTTAGATACCATGGCATGAATTCATCTAATCATATAATTATGCAGTCCCTCTGAAAGTTCTTTGCTTAATTGTTCATCACCTCTTAACATGAATTCTTTGCCTTAATTTCCTCTTTCCTCTTTGGGTGGGAGGGTATTGTCTCCAGCATTGTGGTTGAATTTTTCTTCAAAATCTTGTACAGCATTTCTTTAGTTGCCTTACCAATGAAGCCTTGGGTTAGTGTTAAGGTACATAAGGTAGGGATCCTAGAATCTTGAACTTCTAGGTTCAAGTCCTACCTTGTAATTAGTGAGTTGATTCTGTGATTTAATTGTAGAATTGTGATTTGTTGGTTGACACATACTTAATGAGATGACTTGTAATTATACCTTGTACTGAACAAAAAATTCTTTCTGAGTTTTGTTTCTGCCCCCTGGCTTTTGTCATGTAAATTTTTACTGTGTCCTGAGCATTTTCTTAATATTGAGAGCGTTTTGTAAAAGGGTAGATATGTGGTCTTGCAGGTCCAAAACTATACCTCGGACATTGTGGATGACATGCACATTGATACTCATGATCTTAGCATTCGTGATGTTTGCATTGGCATTCAGTGGCTCCCTTTACATTTCCACTTGTATTCTTGGTGTGTGCTACGGGTTTCAGTATGCTCTCATGGTTCCCACTGCCTCTGAGCTTTTTGGCTTGAAACACTTTGGCATCATTTATAATTTCATGGTGCTAGGCAATCCTATTGGTGCCCTTCTTTTCTCAGGTCTGCTAGCGGGGTATGTGTATGATCTTGAAGCTGCGAAGCAAGGGAGCTCTACGTGCCTGGGTCCCGACTGTTTTAGACTCACATTCCTGGTATTAGCTGGAGTCTGTGGCCTGGGAACCATCGTATGCGTCATTCTGACTAAAAGGATACGACCTGTTTACAAGATGCTTTACGCTTCAGGTTCCTTTTGTTTGCCTCAAGCTTCGCACCACTGACTCTTTGGAGATTCATATATGGCTTCCCGCTTGCCTGTTTTTGTACTACAAAATTTGCTGTATTTTGTGCTACAAAATTTGCTGTATTTTGTGCCTTCCCCTGGTTAGTTCTGATTGGTCAGCTTATAGTGTCAATTTTGTACCATCAAAGTGATATTACCATTTGAGGATCCTCTGATCCTACTTCCCAAGTACGAGAATTTATGTCACTTCTTATGGGAACTTTGGGATATACTTCAATAAATGTTTCTATGAATGGTTTCTTCAGCAAAAGGGTCGAGTTCTATGATTCTTTTTTTTTTTTCTTTTTTCTTTTTTTTGAGTTGCATTTGTTTTTTAGACTACACTAACTAACAAAATAATTAAATAAAAGGATAACCAGTATCAAGTGGAACTGTCTCTATTTAATGGTTTAAGTTGCACAATTTTAACCATCCAAAATTTTTTGTTTTTGGCACATATGAATTGAAATAAAACCAATTAACTTTTTCATAACCATAATTAATACATGAAAAATATAAATATACCAATTCTCCTATGTATTTGGGTATCTAAAACATGAAACTTTACCACCCAAAAAGAGATGAAGAAAAAGAAAAAGAAAACTATTGGTTTTTTTTTTTTTTTTCCTCTAGGCTTGCTGCACATCTCCATACCTAATAGGTTCAACACAATGACCTTCCCAAAAACCAAAGAACAACAAAATACAAGATACAAAAACCGGGGGGGAGACATTTTTGAGAGATTGCGAGACAATCTCATTGCTGAAACAGAGCCAGTATGCATCTAAGATGACCCACCACTAAAGTTAGAACATAAAATTCAATCTTCCTGCACACTTGATCCGAGAAAAATCTGGTGGAAGAACGCAATAAAACCATCTCTCACCATCGAAAATCAATATCAGATGAAAATTGAACAGAAGCAGGGTATTGAAACCAACCTTCATGTAGGTTTCAGATCCTGAAACATGGTGTCCCACCTGATCTCTTCAATGGCTGCCGGCCAATATCCATCTTCCTCTCCGTCCATTTTCTCCTCCTTCCGGCAATCATAAACCACCGGACTCGAAAAGCCATCAATTCTATGCCCTGCCACCACCAAAGGACTCCCATTTGTGAGAAGCAGGGGAGACCTCCCCTGCTTTGGCGCTACCATCCTCTTGTTCCTCTTCAACATTGTCCCCCTCCATCTGCTTCCATAAGAATCCCTACTGGCCGGAACAACAACAAGAGCCGATTCTTCCCGGCGAATCAGTGTCCTGATGTACCTAGAAAGGCACCTCTTAGTCCTCTTGATTGCCACAAGAAGTCTTGACACCGGTCTTCGGGTCACTCCTCTGTCCTTCCTAGCCAGCTTGAGAATTTCCAGCCTGTGTTTGGCTATGGATATTCCCATGCTCTGAAGAAACTCATGGTTGAAATATGCTATATCTTCTTCTTCAAGCTCATTGTGGGAAAAAGCAAGGCCATACTCATACACAAGGGAAGGGTCAAGGCCAGTTTTTGAGAGCCAAGAGAACCAGTCCATGGCTTTTGAGTGGTGAGATATCAATGCTAGTTATGGTTTAAGCTTTGAGAAACATATATTATAGTAGGAGGCG